ATTTTAAACTCCAGACTTAATGGTCTAAAGTATATTTTTAGGCAATAATGTGCATTACTTCATTTACTTTAACAGGAAACAAACTAATTTGGAGAGCTGTATTTTGGCTCTCCAAATTAGGATCTAGAATTTTGCCCCCAAATCCTGCCCTGAATGGCATCACCAATTTGGAAAGGGAAATACCTTCAGTGAGGGATGTCAGCTCTGGCATGTTGTCAGAAATTGCTGTTTGGATGTAGTTTTGGACATGTGGTGCAGAACTAATGTGTGAATAGGAGTGAGAATTTTCTGGCCCTCCAATTGGATTTTTCTCACAAGTTGACCACCACTTCTTCCTCCTAATTTGGCTACATTTCACTCCTCATGACAGACAGGCATGCACATGCACACACGTAGTTCTTAAAGGGAGAAATGAGACTTTTCCATCGCTACTATAACATTAGAAAGGCTAATCACCCAGTTTGAGAACCTGCTAGATATCGCCACACATAGCTGAAGATCAGACTGAATGCGTACTGCTCTGCTGGACTACCTGGATTCTGGTCAGGTTCTCACACAATGCCATTTGTATAGGAAATTAGTACCATCACTAGTCCATTGAGTCTCATCATGCAGGGCCATAAAAAAGCAAAGGAGGCCATTTGGGCAGAGGATCAGCTTAAGTAGTAGCTGCATAGTACATTTACCACCTCAGAGCCTGCACTTTTCTAAAATAAAAAGAATGTGGCTTTTTCTACCATGTACTCAAACATCAATTTGAAACAAGGAAAACTCAGTTTCTGAATGAGTGGAATGGATCATCTTCACCCCTGAAAAAGTAGACTGTTATAATAATGGTGCAAATTCACATTTTCAAGAAAGAAACACATTTGATGTGCCTTATGCCAGAGATGAGTTTACTCTGTTTGGCTATCAAACTGTGAACTAGCTTAGGGTCACAATGGAAGTGAATTGGCAAAGATGAGGGTCCTAGTTGAAGTAAAAAAGATAAGACATTGAATAATGTGATCTGGAGGGTGTTGATTCTGACCAAATGGGGTGCTGATTCTGATAGCTCGGGGTTGAGTTGTGTCCTGATTGATGAGAAGCTAGAACAGGACTTTGTTTTGATGAGCTGCAACAATGATTAGGTTGTTCGGCAGCACATTATTTGGAGAGGCAGCAGTGGTAGAGTCACACATCCTTTCCAGATTTTTTAAAATAATCTAAATCCACTGAAGCTCCTCCCAGCATGGTGCCTTCTAGATGTGCTGAAGGTCAACTCACAGAATTCTCAGCCAGCATGCTGTTGAGTTGAAGCTGACACATCTGAGGAGCATCAGATTGGGGAGAGCTGGCCTTCTGAGTACAGCCCTTGCCTACATTCTTATATTCTGTGTAGAAATAGAATAGGAAAATAGCATGGGAGAGGAGGGGAATGGCAATGCAACTTCATCCAGATAAAAAATGGCTACCATGGGCACCTTTGTGGCATAGTAACCCAGCTTTTGCATTAATGTACACACATTTGCAGAAAATTTGGTCAATTCCTGCATGGCCTGGCAAGAAAGTGAAGGAAAATGAATGATTTTATGGCTTCTCTGATACCATTTTACTCATAATTAAACTAAACCACAATATCTTCCTAAACTCCAGACCCACCATTCTTAGCTCAGTGTCTCAGGAAGTATTGCTTGTAAGACCAAGGCAGGGGAAGATGGAGACACATAGGTAACATGACAAAGCCATCCTTTCAACAAAACCAGTGTAAGTTTTGAAAAGGAGGAGAGGTCTTTAGCAGAGAGATTTATCAGAGAAATGTAAGGCAGAAAGCGGAAGGAGAAGAGACAGAGAGCAATCACCTTCATTGAACAGCAGCACCAACAGTCCTTTATGGGCAAGAGGGAGCCTTATTGGTGGGCCTCCATTATTTCTTCTTTCTGGAGCAACATCCCAGTGTTTCCAGAAAGCTACAATTCATGTTCCTCAACCCGGATAGCTCCACTCAGCCCCTGGTCCAGGCTGCCCCTCCCGCCCCAGAACCCCAGGTTGCGCTTGAGGGAGGTCAGCACTTGTACCTGGAGGTTGGAGACCGGGGCAGGGCTCGCAGCCAGGGCAGCAGTTGCCATGGTGCGGGTCAGCAGTGGGTTGGGTGGATTGCTGCTAGGAGGATGTGTGGCCTTCCAGTAGGCTTCCAGGTACTCGGCCAGGTGTTCACAAGCATCTTCTAGCTGGTTTTCATCCAGGATGATGTCAAACATTTCCTGCAGAGAAACAGGAGGAAGAGTGGGAGTAACTTGGTCCAATGAAGTAGAAAGAGAGAGAGAGAAAAAAAATATAAAAAAGGGATGGAATATCAGGGGCAGCAGTAATGAAAGGAGGAAGCTAGGCAGGTCTTATGGAGAGAAGCCAGTGGGCTGGAATTATTATTACATAGAAGTAGGTTTTTAAAAACACAATCTTCTCCAATTTCCAGAGAGTAAATGCTGGGAGGTAGCAGCAAAGAGTTGAAGAGGAGAGCTGTGTGAGCAGTATGGTCTTTCAGTACCACCTAAGCTTGTCTGCATCCTTCAGATACAATGAGGGATGTTGTCCCATTATTGTATTGAAAAACTATTCTGCTGCAAATGCAATGGACTCTGCGAGAGAGAAAAGGGGAAATATATCTTGCTGTTTTCCACAAGTGGTAAAAATGGTTTTGTTCAGCCCTTCCCCCATATGAGCATGCTGGTCAGGTGTACTGGGAATTGTAATCCATCATCTCTGGAGGGCATCACTGGAAAAGTCTAGGCTATGCATGATACTGAGCACAGAAGAGCCACAATACCTGCCCTACAGGGCTTACTTTGTAAGCATGGGCAAAGATACTATTTTCAGAGAGGCATTTGGCATTGCCTGAGATGGATGGTGCAAAGAAAGGACCAAGGACTTAGCTAAGCAATGGGATATCGCGGGATAGGCTGAAACGTGAAGTTTGGCACCACAAATAGAAGAAGGGCAGGGCAAACTGGTGGTGGTGGGAAGAGGGCTGAATGCCCCATTTGCATGGTATAACCAGGATTGGGAATCTGGAAGGAAGGGAGAGAACAGATGGAGTCCCAGCCATTAGGATGCTGCACCCAGTATGAGGACTTACTGGGGGACATTGTGCCAATTTGTCTGATGCCACCATCTGAACATTCAAGTGCTTGGCTTGGGATTTACCTCTAGATTTCACCAACCTTTGCAGCACCTGTTGGGGCAAAGAATGAGAGAAAGTTATGTTAGGGCCCAAAAGGAGAATGGAGACAGGATCAGAACATTAAAATGTCCTCTCTATTAAAAGAGAGAATACTTCCAAGGAACTCTTGCTCTCATCCTTGCTCTCATCCTTCTTCTGGAGGAACCCCTCCAGAAGAGGATGTCCAAATGCACAAACACTTACAAACAGGGAAGAGCTATTCCCCTGAATACAGAATTTTTATTCATCAGAGTAAATAGCCACAGGAAGAAGGCTACATTTCACATTGTGGAGATGAGGTACGGATTTAGAGTGGATAGAATTGCAGTGATTCATAGAGCATTGTTTTGCCTTCTGAATCCTGTATTCATTCCCTAGTATCTTGTGCAAAAATGACTGTGTCTTTGCCTGAGATCTTAAATAACACCTCTGAGCCAGAAGAGTTTCTGAGCTAGATGGGCCAGTGATCAAATTTGTTACAAGTTATTTCCTTATGCGCAATTGTTTTGAAAAGAGAAACAAGAAGCCACAGATGAATTCGTATGAGCTATGTGATGTCTCTACATTTGATAGAACATAATTCCACTTATGTATGATCACACTCAACTTTGAGCATGCTAAGAACAAGTTTTTGAAAAGAGAAAACATTAAACACAAATAGCCTGGGGTGAAATCTGGAAAACCCCTTGGTCTTTGTTGCCTTCAGGAACCAGGACCTGCTCTTTCTTCCATCTCTTCCACAACATAGTTGTTCATTCCCTTCCCCTGATCAAGATTCTACCCATGTCTCACTCACAGTGTGGTTACTATCTTCCCATCACAAAAGTCTGATTACAACTATAAGCAATTAAACAGAACAACATTTGCAAATTATCCACATTTTACATTTCTCCTGACTGCTATTACTGGTTTCTTATTTCAGGTTTAGACCATAGAGCCATTCATTATGGTCCATGGAAGTGGAAAACAGTAGTAAAATGTGAATATATATATTTCTTAAATAAATAAACTCATTAAGGAAGTAACCCCAGCACTACCAGGGTCATGAAGTTATTTCCAAAAATGACCAGCCATATTGGCCACAGGCCAAAGTAGGCAGTTTATGCAATTTTACTGGATTTTTAAAAAATTATTCTAGTTTTTGCGGTAACAAATAGTTTTAATAATATAAATGAAACAACAAGGTAAAAATATAAATGATGAAAAGTAAGAAAATAAGGGTATGAAATATCTTATAACTTGCTGATCAACTCTCAGGAATATTGTATTTTTATTTTCAAGGCTGTTTAACATCTTCCCCTTTAAGAACAGAATTTTTGCAGGAACAAATTAACAAAAAACGTGCTGTAATTCAATAAAGGCAGCACAGGATTTTCATGCAAAAGGTCACAAATGCAGTTCCTCACACCAAAAGGGCTGGGAAAGATCCCTTCCTGAAATTCTGGAGAACAGGTGGCAGCCAATGAAAATAGTACTAGGTTAGGTGCACCACTGGTTCAGTTCAATAATTTCTGGCTTCTGTGAAACCTCTGCATTCTCATGTGTAGTTTAGCACTACTGTAGCCAATTTCTGAAAGTCAAAAATAGTCATGTATCTCCATATGCATTTCTTCTGAGATAATACGTTCCTATATGCTGCTCTTACCTGCACATGTCCACTGAAGTACCATAAGAATTTTTTCATTTATTCTGGCACCAAGTCCCTCTATGGCCCCCCACCTTTCTTTCCCAAATCAGGTGGAAGGTAGTTTGTTAGCAGAATCAGGTGGAAGAAAAAGGGAATTTGCTCACCTTTGGGGAAGATATCTTGATGTAGACAATAATAGGTGCCAATGAGGTCTTGGAGAGTTGAGCTGGGTGATTGATGGTGTCTGCATCCAAGGCAACCAGCTGTAGGGTTCGGGCCAATTCAAAGATGCGCTCTATCTCGCTCTGCACTTCAGCTGCCAAGGCAGAGAGCAAGCAGCAAAGAAGGAGGAGACATGGTCAGCACTGCCATGGGAAAAAAAATAGCAGCAAGATTCACACTGCCCTGTGATAGTCCCAGAACAGCCTTTCTCAGCCTGGTTTCCTTTTGAAGGACTGGACATTCCGGTTAGAGAATTCTAAGAAATAACATCCACTGATCAGGAAGACACCAGATTTGGGAACGTTTTTCACTGTTCCCTACAGTAGCATTTGTTCAAGGAGTGAAATGTAACCAGTTAATAATTATCCCACAACTCACTATTTTCACTGGCATCTTTAGGTACTACAGCTATAGCTCCCATCATTGTTGGACTGTGGAAGATGCTGCCTTTGAAAAAGGATACACTTATTAAATCTGTCTATTTTATAGGACAAACATTAATTATTTTCATTTCTGAATGATCAACAATCAGTCTGATCCAAAGACTTTTTGGCTTAAAGCCATCCCTCAAATGATGAAAAGTGAAGTGGCTGCTGGCCACAAGAAGCAAGTTTGAAGTATAAATAAGGCGGCTAAATTCTGGTCCACAGGGCCTGAACCAGCAGGATGTCCTCCAGGACAGATGTCCAGTCCTTCCCCATCACTTCTAGCAGAATTTTTTAGTGGACCGTGTGCCATGTTAGGGCAGTAATGTGGGAAATACACCATTTGGAAGTGCTACCCATAATCCATAGTGATCTCCTTGTTTTAAACATTTCTACTTGTGTTTATTTTTTCTTATATTTCTTCAACTTAAGATGCAAACGTGCTGTATCCTGAGTATGGCAGTCTCCCCCAATAAGGCCACAGTCCAAATGTGTAGAACTCCCAGAATTGCCCAGGTAGCCTGGCCATTACTGAGAATTCTGGGAGTCAAAGTCTACAAACCTGCAGGGCACCAAAGTTGGAAATGGCAGATATAGGAAATGTCCAACAAATAAATAAATAAACAAACAAACAAACAAACAAACAAACATATAGAATCTGTAACCTTTTACAACCAAGTGATTTCTCTAACAGTGTTAGAGCATTAAGTCTATTTAAAGATATGTCCCACTGAATTTAATTGGTGTTATCCCAAGTAAATATGCATAGGGCTGCAACCAAAACATTAAGCATTGTTGCTGTCCTTAAGATGGCCATGAATTAAAAACAAATAACATTTTTTTCTGGATTTGCTATGGCTCATTAAAATCTTAGGAAATGAATGAAAGTGAAAAATGAGCCTGCTCTGGCTCTGCATTTTTCACTTTTCCAAATACAATTACAAATCCAAAAATTTTTTTTTTTAACATTTTGGCGTATGTATTTGTTTTGATTTTGAACACCCTCTATCCCATTCTCTTACTGGGAGAATCATATTTCCCATGGTGAACTTAAGCATGTTAAATTGGCACTTGGAAGGGACACTGGAGAGCTTGTGAAGTTAAAGGTTACATAGACATCTGTATCAGGAGCACAGAAAGGAAGAGGATGCGCAGACACAAGGGAAGGAAAATTGTGGGAAGAGGGGGGAAAGAGAAGAGTGAGTCAAAGTCATTGGGAAGCAGCAAAAGATGCCTACAAGTCTGATGAAGTCACAACATGGGGAGGGACTGAAAATAGAGAAAGCTGCTGACAAACCCAACTGCCTTCTCCTTTTACAATGGTTGGTTGAGAAGGAACATCCTTTCTTCCTCATGCACAGAAGTGCAAATGATTTAAAATGCACCCCATAATACTTCTGACACCATTGTCCATGGTCTGCATATTTTAGGGTGTCCCCACTTCCATCCCTGGATATAGATAAATTGATGATGCGGTAGAGACCATCCCAATACCCTGCTCAAGGATTATGTCAAAGGGGTCTGCCAGGGAAAGAGAAAAAAGTGACAACACTACACAAATCAAGAAGCATCCAGGAAAAGATGTTCTCAACTGATACAGATCAGAGTTAGACAAGGCTTAAATAGCCACCATGCAAAATGTTAGTGTCATGTGTTCATGCCTTCTCCTCCCTCCCACTATTCCTACAGAAAAGATGCTGAGAAAAAAATTTAGAAGAAAGCAAAGAGTTGAACTTCTCTTGCAGGATCTCAGCACAGCCTTACCCAGACTGGAACGGGTACTGGAGCGCTCAATGATGGTGTGTTTGCTAGGGTTGTTGAGGACTGAGCGCTTGGCCAGAGAGATATCAGCCGTCACACGTGTGATGGATATTCTGTGGAAGATACAGAGGAATGGATAGTTGAGGGAGCCAACTTCATTTGCCAGGTATCCCCACCGGATCACTAGGATATTTAGAAGTCTTTGTGGCGACACAACCAGAGAAAGGAACCTCAATATCTTCTAACAGAACCTCAATAATTTCAGTCCACTTAAATAAAAGTGGTTTCTCCTCATGAATTAGGAAAGGAGTTTTTAACAAACCACAAACAAACAAATCTGTCTCTCAATGTTTATTTAAAAAGAAATGTCTAATCTTCATGTCCTGGAAGAAAGAGGGGGAGGAATGTTTTGTGGGATGCAGGAAAACTTGTAGAAACTCTGGAAGGCAGAAACTCTGTACCAACCCTCCCACATCCTATGACCTCTACTTGAGTTTTATCCTGAAGTCACCTAGACGTGGCCATAAGATTTCCAGTTTCCCCCAAGACCTCTCTTTTCCCCCAAGGCTCCTGCTCACACCTGCCATCAAATCGGCGTTTCAAGAAATCAAACAAGGCTTTCTGCATCATGTCTGTCACCTGGGAAGATAAAGCAGGAAGGGGAGAAGAGGTATGCAGAAGTCAAAATCCTGAAGTTTGCATATGGGCAAAGTAAAAGATGGGTGCAAATGTTCATGCCAGCACTTGATAAAAGTTTGTCCAGCTTGCTTTGGGTGTAAAGCTCTCAGATATGTTGCTGTTTAATTGCCAACTGATACAATCCATTGTTCTCACCCAAACTAGGTCTCCTTCTTTTTGATTCAATAACTAATTCATATGACCCAGTAAGGCACGATTTGCACAACCATGATTGGTTGGTCCAGTCAGCTGCATTCATATTACAGCCGAGCCACAGTGCTGCCCAGAGTTATTCTGAGTGAGCAGTTTACAAATGTGTGCGTATGTGAGACGGAGATGGTTTAAAAAGCACTACAGTTGGCTTCATGCAAAATATTAGTTTAAAATCAAAACCAAAATTCATTTGCAATGGTTTGAGTTTCTTTTTTAAGTGATTCTGTCCAAGAAAGAGGGAGATTTGTTAGTCTAAATAAAGATATTACAAATGAGCTTCCTGCATTTTTAATGGCATGAGAATTTTTTTTAGCATTTTTGTGAGAAAAGAGAGTGTAAAACACCGAAGGTGGATTTAGATTAATAGGGTACAGACCAGGAAAGTCAACTACGTTTGAAAGGAAATGAGCATGTCTGGGCAAACCATGTGATGGGAACATGCTTGAGTAAATCCCACAACCTATTCTAAACATCTGAATGACACCTGTGAAAGGTCTTTCATCTCCCTCCTTGCCTGGTAACAACAAAAGGGTATCTCACAGCTATTCAATACTGCTCCATTTCCCAACCATTTCTACTGGAAAATAGTGTGGAGAGCCAAAGGGAAGGATGGAAAGAATGCTTTACAGGAATCTGGGTCAGATTGGAAGCAGAGTTGAGATGAGCTACACTAAGATGATGCATCAACTTTCATTCAAATGCATGGGAGGAAACTGGAGTGATGACTTCTTTGGGGGCTGAGATTGCACTCAGCATTTGATGTCCCACAGGGAACCACAACTCAAAAAGTGAGCAAGAATTGGACCAGGAAATGGGTGGAGCCAGGGCAAATGTTACATTTGATTTAAAGACTGTATCTAATAATTTCCCAGTTCTGTTATAAATTAAATGTTGCAATTAAACTTTTGGAGGTGCTCTGGGAGCTGCATCAAGGCTTTGAAGGCTACATGCTGTTCAAGGACTTCAGGTGATGTATCTCAAATTTGAATGATGGATTGGCAGATGAAAAATATGTATGGATCTCTGATGGCCCTTTGGAAATGTTCCCAATTTCCCTGTAAAGTAATTCAACTCTTCCACATTAATCTTTTCCTCCACATCACCATTAGTCCTTCTTCCCACCCCACATGTTCAATGCCTCACCTCATATCCTTTCAAGGATGGGCCCACAAGAATGATTGGCCGCATAGAAGGAACCACATCATATGGTGGCACATGCTCTGCCTGAGGGCAAAGGAGAAAGAACAAAACATTAGGTTTGCTTCTGGTTTATTTTGCTAGCATCAAAACCCATGTTTCCAGATTCTCACAATCTCAATCCCTATTTTGTCGGGATCCACAGGGCTTGGCACTCTCTCTACTCTGTTTAACATCTACATGAAGCCGCTGAGTGAAGTAATCTGATGGCACGGCATGAGGTATCATCAGTATGCTGATGATACATAGCTTTATATCTCCACCCTGGCCAACCAAATGATGCCATGGAGGTTCTGTCTTGGTGTCTGGAGGCTGTGGGAGTCTGGATGAGGAACAACAGGCTTCAACTCAACCCTAGCAAGACTGAGTGGCTCTGAGTTCTATGACCTCCAGGTTTTGGGGACTTTCCATCACTTGTCCTGGATGGAAACAGAACAGAACCAGTGCACAATTTGGGATCCTCCTGGATTGGCAGCTCCTGTTCGAAGAACAGCTGGTAGCCATGAGCAGGAGGGCTTTGGACAGCTTGATGTTGTGCACTAATTGCACTCATGCCTGAACTGAGAGGTTAATGTCTTAGTCACCTTCCGAATGGACTACAGCAATGTGCTTTACATTGAAGAGCATCTGGAAGCTGCTGGTTCAAAATGCAGTGGTGCAGGCAGTTAATGAGTGCTCTCAAATCTGTGCATACTACACCTCTGCTCTGTGAGCTGCATTGGTTGCCAGTATGCTTTCAGGTTCCATTCAAGGTGCTGGAGATTAGCTATAAAGCCCTTCATGGCTTGGGGCCAGGTTATCTGAGGGACTCTGACTGTGTCTACCTGTCCCATCAGATCCAGCAAGAGAGGTGTGCCACTGGTCCTATCTATTAAAGAGTGCCATCTGGGAGGATCCAGGAAGAGAGCCTTTTTGGTTGTGGTGCCTACTCTTTGGAACATTATCCCCCAGAAGATTAGATCAGCCCTGACCTTTAGGCCTTTCACATGGTTATGTTGATGGTTGTTTGTAGTTTTATCTCCGCTGCTGATTATGTATTGTTGTGGTATTTATTTATTATTTTGGATTTTCACCATTGTTAGCCACCCAGAGTCATCATGATGAGATGAGGGGCCATATAAACTGAAATAAATAAATAAATAAACAGCTCCATTCTTCTTAAGGGCACAGGGTTGGGGGTGGAGGAGGAAGTAAGGAAATCACAGAAAAGAAGCAAGAAAGAGGGCTTGGCTGAGAGGCCATTCTGGGACCCAGTGCTTCAGTTCTGTCTCTGACACTTGGACGGGGGGATATTCAAAATTAAAGTAATGCAACATGTTTAGGGAGTTGTAGTGAAGTTATGTTGTGGTGGTGAAGTCATAAAGGCAGACTTTCCCAAAGTAGAAATTTCATAACTAAGGATTGCAGGAACTAAAGTCCTGGAAGGGGCCAGGTTGGGGAAGGCAGCCTTACAGAAACAGAGACCAAAATAGGGAAAGACCCAAGCTTCGAGACTTCAGATTCATGGAAAGCCTTTGGTGGACACTGGTGGAACAGAATGGGAAAAATTCCTGGGTAATCATCACCTGGTATATTTTATAAGCTTACTTACCGATTTTTGCTTCTGCTTGGCTATGTCCAGTGATCGCCATTAATGGTTGGGGTGGGGATAGGGATACATGGGAATGGGAGAAGGGACAGGCAAGAGAAAAAACAAACAGGGCATGCGTGTTACTGAGAGCTCACACTTGCAGAAGCGTAGGTAGGCACAGGAAGGAAAGGGAGAAGAAAACTAGTGCTGAGGAAAGCTGGACACCAGCTGTTTTTCAGTATGGGTAAATTAATCCTCACACTCAGAAATGGCGTGGGGAACAACCTTCCACCAAGTGTCTGGTTTGATCTCTCTTCTCCTTACTTTTCTTGTCTGCCTTGATTTGCTCATGGCAACCCCACAAGTACTCCAAAGGGCAATGGAGTCAATTTTGCTGCTTAAAGCAAAGAACAAAATGCTATCCCTCCCTCCAGTTACAGGACCCACACAAACAAGCAGTCAAACCTTAGCACTGGCAGTGGGATAGGATTCGACATCATCCGTAAGGCCAGCTGGTTGATATGGGGGCAGAGGTCCAGGATAAGCTACACAGCACATACAACTCAGTCTTCCAAGAGAGAAATTGCCAAGGAAGTGCACTATTTCCCATCAGCTTTTGCCAGCTGAACACAAAAATCATTCTCCCTATTGAAATGGCCCTCTTATCTAATCTGAGCCCAGCTGCATGTTACTGAGGCATCTGAGTAGTATTACCTCCTTCCTTTGCCACTGCAGTAGGTTCTCTTCAGTGGCAAAATTATAAGGAAGCAAACTCTTAACCTACCAGCCATTCCATCCTGAAACTTTTCTCCAACCATCTACACCTCCATCTGAAATCCTTTGGAAGGATATTTCTGGAGAAATTAAGAATTAAGCACCCCCTTTCCTCCATAGCAAACTACTATGGAGCGATTAGTATGATATATAATTTGGTCCTGCAATACATCCCATCCTGTACCTTGAATTGGTTTAACAACCAGGCTCCAGATCATTTTCTTCCCTCTTTCTAAGGAAAGGTCTGAATAGGCACATTTCATATTCAGAGGTACTTTTGGGCACATTCAGCACTAGGAATGTTCTCTATCTGGAGAGGAAAAGCTATTGGATATTCATGGTTATTATGGAATGATTGTGACCAACAGGATGCTTTAATCCCATGTCTATGTCACAGGGAATTGCAGAATTATTTCACTCATTTGGTATTAGAACATTCTGCTGCTAGAATTTTCCTTGAGTGAGGAAATGGAGAATAGGAATGCTCCATTTCTATAATCAACACAGGGAAGGCCCATCATCTTAGGGAAGAATGAATGGGACATGCTACCTGCACAGTGGAGAAAATGGTTGGAATCTTCAATTTTGAAGGATTTATACAGGGGGGAAGAAATGGGAAAATAACTGGATGATTGAAGTATTCCTTTCTTATCCTTCCTATTGGAGAACCCATTCAATCATTTTATTCTCATGATATGTAAGACAGGGAGGAACAGGGGAAAGGAAACATAATCTGTTGGGCCCATCTTACAATATGGTCCCTACAGGAGTATGAACTAGCTGCCAATACACCTTTTAGCTCATACACATGAAAAGTATGTGTGATCACTGGAACATACCATTCTTATAATTTGTATACTCACGTTACAAATGCTACGAACAGAACCTCTGTTTTTTGCTGTCCAAGAGATCGTGCATCTAATATGCCAATTACCGTTTGAAGGCCATCACCATATTCGTTCCTGTAACTTATGCTCTAGATTCAATGCTGCCCGTGGATGATCAGTGACATCAGAAGCTCCCAGACATGCTTTTTGATCACCTCTATCCTAGTCACACAAGCGCTTGACCTTGACAAAAACAGCCTCTACACACAGGCAGGCATCTTATCAGGACACAGCAAGCAGGTGCAGGTAAAGAGGGGCACCATTACCTTCTTAAAGAAGGAGATGCGCTTGGTGGTGGAGGGAGGTGTGGTGACACTGCTAACACTAGTTTTAGGGGTGCGCTGGCTCTCGTCGGCTCCTGCCTCCTCCTCCTCCTCTAAATCAAGGGCATCTGGGTCATAAGCTAAGTTAGTCAGGTCCAAGGTACCTGGGACAAGGACGAGGTGAAAAGGTGTAAAAGGTAGTGGGGGAGGGGGAAGAAAAAAGAAGGCACCAAAGAACAATAACCAAACTGAGAAAGTATGAACTGAAAATAGCAAGAGGTAAAATAAATGGAAAGAAATAATCAGAAAGGAAAAATAAAGGAAAATAAAATAATCTAGAGAATGTAAGAGAGAAAAAAATGGAGTAGGAATTCCAGTTTCCAGAGTATGTTGTCACCTGGCAGTGGCCTAAGGCACAGACTGGCTCTGCTCATAAGCAATGGATTACAGTGATGGAGTCCTGAAGAGGCAGGGTGACCTACACCATTTCAGACTATGGATAGGCAAATGCATTTTATTATTGTTAAAGGAAAAAAGAAAAGAACACCTAGCATCCTAGAAAGTAGGCTGGGCTAGAATATCTGTGAAGTGCATGCTGTTGACCAGCATAAAGGTTTTTTGGGGGAAGGGGAGAGACAAACGTGGGGTATATTCAAATATAGCATTCCCACGGCATCTCATTTTGCTGAATGTCTAGTTTCATCCATAGAGCTGAGTCATGTCTTCCTGATGCTTCAGACTTTTCTCATTCTCACTGAGGAGAGATGCAGGACTTTTCACCTAGGATGAAGGTAGAAAAACTGATAGCCATTCTCTCTGGGTAGGAGATGCCTTACCACTAGCAGGTGGGGTGGGTCTCCGGGGACCTGTCACCACATCTCCCAGGCTGGAGGTGGAGTTGTCTCCTGATTTACTGCAAAAGCAAAAAAAAAAAAAAAGCCGTTGA